GGTAGTTTTCAGCCAGTCCAGATAGCAAGGGCAGCATATCTTGCTTGTTTCAACAGCAAGCTTTTATAGAGCTGGATTTCCTGATCTACCCTCTGGGCTAAGGAAAGACGGGGCTTTGATTCACAAAGTGACCGCAGCTCGTTGTCTTCCTCCTCGAATAGTTCTTCCAACTTGCGTAACTTGCGTAACTTGCGTAAAAAACGTGACGTAAGTCGTGCTCCCTAGAGCCGGCGCTTTAGGCTCTGGTGCTGCGGGAATCGATGCCATGGAATCGGAAAATACGGAACCGGTTCTGAACAGGAACCGGTTTTCGATTCCCATCCCTAGTGAGAGCTGACTCTTAGAGAGAGATCTGTGAAGTTTGTCAAGGTTTTTGTTTTAAAAAGTTGAGATTGATAAGCAGCCCTTATCTGCTCTATCTGCCCCTCATTTTGTCTTTTTTGAGGCTCAAAGTATCACTTTTTTACTAAATTTGTTTTCTGTCCTCCTGAACTTGTAGAAATTTGTTTTTTTTTTTTCCCCAGAGTGAAAAACTGTGCTTTCTACTGCCCCTTGATGTTTTGGCGGAGCTCAGAGGGAATCGCTACTCTGTCCGTTTTCTTTCCAACTGAACTCTTATTATGGTTAAATCTTTTTTTTTTTTTTTTTTTTCTTTCATTGATATTATGTGCCCGACTCCCATGCCTGTTATATATGCGATTTGCAACTCCAAAACTGACTGTTTTTCCGTAAGATTTACAGATTTTTTTTTGTATTTTCTCACAAAGCAGAGGTATTTTGCTTTACAACTGTCTTGGAAAATGTCTTGTCCTGTCAGTTTCATGAAATTACCGCCAAATTGCTGCGTAAACCACCTAAAATGGACCTGGGGTCGATTTCAATCGAAGCTAGGCAGCCTTCTTGCAGAAAATCATATCAGGTATGATCATCCCCATTCACTCTCAATGAGCGCTAAACGTCACAACCTGGTCCGACATGATATTCTGTCGGATCGGAAACACAATCGGATTCAGTGTTCAGGACTGCAGTGAGAAAGACAGCTGTGAATGTCTGCATACATTCAAAGCTAACAGATGTTGCTACAGACAGAGACAGCTGTAACTGCAGCCATACCATCCAACAAGAGTTTAATATTTATTTTGTAAAAACATCTGTGTCCTCTTCTTTTAACTGTACAGTGTAAACCCTTCTTTATGTTGCTCTCCAATAGAATATACTGATATCTGTTGAGAAGATGTGTTGAAAAATTTTCAAAACCACTTTTTAAACAACCAGAAGCTTTAACAATCTCAATCAGACGTACCTTTGATGAGGTAGGGGTGGTTACAACACTTTCTTAATTCCATCATGGTATTGACCAGGTTGGGCATGTTCGACTGGCCCGCCCCTTTGGCCAGGAAAGAGAAGTTCTTCTCGAGGATGGCGCGATAGTATTTCTTCTGGATGTTGGTGAGCTCCACCTCAATGATGGTTTCCTCTTTAGGGGCCAGCTTCTTCTCCACGTCTTCTTTCAAACGACGCAGCATCATGGGCTTCAGGATGCCCTGAAGCTTCTGCACCTGTGGTTCAAACAGGTCATATGCATGTTGTCACATAATAAGCCGCGCAAACAGGTGCAAATTTGTTTCCTTTTTTGCCAAGTAATAAAAGGCATGAAAGCTTAAGCAGTGCAACTGTGTCACTTCATGGCCCTGCCAGCTCCCAAGAATTAGGTTAAACATTTTCTGTGGCTTTTAGATGTAGCAGCACCTGCTTAGTTCCAGCTGACACAAATGATTGCGTCCCTAGACTATCGAGCAAAAAATTTAAAATATGAACCTACCTGCTCCTCTGTCTTGAGGTCACCAAACTCCTGCATGAAGTTGTTCTCAGAAGGGAAGCGCCCTGGCTCCAGGAAGTGCAGCAGACTAAAAAGCTCCTCCACTGTGTTTTGCAGAGGAGTTCCAGTCAGTAGGACCTTGTGCTCCTTAAAGAGTAGGAAAGAAAAAAATTAAATTGAAAACAACTCTCCCAATTACAACTCAAAGTTGCACAACACCCTGGAGCAGCTATCCAAGTGCAGGATTCCCTCACCAGGTTCATGAGTTTGAAGCCTTCAAGTAGCTTGCAGTTCTTGTTCTTCAGACGATGGGCCTCGTCGATGATCACACATCGCCACTCGATGGCATTGAGCTCGGGGCAGCCTCCCAGGATCATCTCAAACGTGGTGATAACAGCCTGGAACTTGTAGGCACCTCGAATGGGGCGACCCTTTAAGATACGAACGATAAAGACGCTTTAAGTATGTAATTTATCAACTGGACAGACATTATTGGCATCTCAAATATTACATAGAAAAACAAAAACGATGTTCCAAAACACATGTGACCTGATGACTGAGAATTTCCCCAGCAAAAATAATCTAAATAATTTATAACTCTAAAATTGTATATAGAATTTGCTTGATTACATGGAAAAAATTAAAATCTAAGTCAGGAATTTTTCTTAAAGTGTATTTTTTCTTGAATTGAGCAGGTAAGTGACACACATTACATTTAATATTAAAAAACAACAACAGTTTCTTATTTAAAGTGCATAATTTCCAATTATCTTATTTTAAGGATAAAAATGCTCATTCATTTGGCAGATCATCTTATTTTCCGACTCACATTAAGGCTAAATACACTTATTTTAAGATCTTTTTATTTATTTTCAGAACATTTTTGCAGTATAGGTTAATTAGACCTTTTATGTAATGTCTTTAGATGATGTTTCTTCCAAAGGGTCACTATAAAAATAAATGAAACTAATTACATCCATTTAACTTTCAATAAAAAACAAAAAAACAAGCAGCCTAAATATGCCACACTGCGTGAGGTCGTCTTCTCTACTCCAACCAGTACACTGCCTCCTGCTTGTTGGGTCTTACTGCCATTTATCTGTTGTGTGTCTGGGAAGGTTTGCTTCATCCTGCCTCTCCGTTTGTATCCATTGCCTTGACAACAGCCCTCAAGAGATACTCTGCTGCCCATGTGCCCCCTCCCTCCCTCCTTTTCTCCCACAGCCAGCCAGCCGGCAGACGACTGTGGAGGAGCCACTCGTGCAGATATGCTTGAACAGCAATGACAGCGAGCTCCCCTTCGACGATGACATCACAGGCTGCCTTGGAGACAGCCGGATGGCGGCTCTGCTCTCCTCTCTCTCACCTTAATTCCTGTTACGGTTCGTCTGAATGCTAAGAGCTCCTAACTGCCTGATTCAAAATATCACATGCCTTGCCAACCACAGACAGCCTCTGTCTAAGGCTCACTAACTACCTCTCGGTCGACTAATTGTAGCATAAGCGCCACTCGCTGGTTCCTGTTGGATGACACCTTGATATTGAAAACCTCATTAAAATGATCTCATCACTAATAAGGAGGAAAACCTGTTGTATCAAAAAAAATAATTACCTTTACACACTCAAAAGCTATTATTCAAACTCTTTAGAGCTTTTGAATGTTTGTACATTTATAGTACTGAAAACGTAACAAACCCAGCTTCCTGACTTTAACCCTACTGTCGCCGCTTCGTTTCAGGGAAAATCTAAATTTCTTCAACAACACGCAGCAACAGATTCAGTCAAAAACAAAACTATATCCTGCATGACTGAGGACCCAGAATATGATGAGCTTTCCACCATTTAGTCTGGCATACGTGGGATAATTTTAGAGCAAAATTATTGTTCATACAATCTGAGAAAAATATATTAAAGAAGATCACTTCTTTGTTTATATTCAGGAAAATAATAAAGCTTTAAGACAATCTAGGATTAATCTCAACTTGTATTCAAATGGTTTAAATAAAAAACATTTGAAACTAATTCTTTTTAAAGATTACATATTTCAACTGCCTGTATTAAACAAAAAACAGCTTCCGTCATGAAATACTTGATGCTAATGATCTAGAACACATCTTTTCCATTGGAAGTCTCTGACATGTAAACAAAGTCACAACCTTTGGATAACCTGTAGCCATAAGTGTTGTTCATATGCATGGTTGATAACACTTCCTCTCTAGGTTCAATCTTTAGTCGACCCAAACCCACCCCACAAATTAAAGTCACTTTTTACCACTTAAAGAAATGCCATATAACCCTATATTTACCTTTGTTACCCACTGATAAATTCTTCAGGAATTTAATGTTTAAATCCGTTTAAAAAGAGAAGCAGATATTTTTCATTTTTATCATCTATTTTAGAAAATGTCCTCTTCAACAGCAATTTTTACTAAAATGTATTTTTCTTCAATGTTTTTAATTAGTCATAATATGTTTGTGTGTATAGAAAAGATTAATTATTTCATCAGCTTTAAGCTTTTCTTCAGATTTTTTTCTTGAACGCTTTTATGATAGGTAATGTTTATCCTGAGAAGTTTAAAAAAAAGTCTAATTTTTTGTGTGTATAAACAAGATTAATCTGATTTTTTTAATAGATAGAGATTAATTGATAGATAAAATTATTCAATCATCTTGATTGAAATAAAGTAAAATTATTTTTCAACGGACGTCAGCAAACCTTTTCTCATTAATGAAGTCAAGTTTATATTTTAGAAATAATATAAAAACCAGTATCTTGCATTGGTGACAAATATATCTATATATAAATATAGCTGGATGACCCATGTCCTTCAAAATGTTTGTCATCAAACTAGGGCTGCAACAACGAATCAATAAAATCAATAAAAATCGACTTTTAAAAGCGTTGGCAACGAATTTCATCATCGATTCGTTGTGTCGCGCGATTAATGCGTCATCCGCCGCGCCGTCATCACTGCCTCTTGACTGAAAGAGGAAGAAAAAAAATACGGCAGAGCGAGTCAGCGCCGCAGGTGCAGTGTTGCCAACTCAGCGACTTTTCAGACCCCTCCAGCGACTATTTTTCAAAAAAGCGAGTAGCGACAAATCTGCCGACTTTTTTCGGTGTCACTGGCGGCTTTTGGAGACTCTTACGTGAAAGCATGTATTGTTCCTACTCTGCTGTGGGGCGCCTCCCCCACCCCAACCGCGTTTTCCCGCAGGAGTCCCTCTCAGCGCTGCAGTCAGAGCCTCAGCGTCCAGACTGCAAATGAAGCGCGCATGCGCAGGGATTGACGGCGCAAATTGATCACAATAATTAAAATAGCCTGCGCTTTGTAAAGTGAAAAAAGTCGTAACATGCAACTTTTGTCAAAACAAATGAACATGGCACGGAACCACCATGTTTGTTTGGTTTTAAAGTGGGGAAACATAACGTTAGTTTCTCAGGTAGCTCATCTGATGCTTTCCTTACAGTGTTAGTAGGTTACAGACAGTGATAAGGTTGGCTACTTATTTTACTTTTAATTTCATTTGAATTAGCTTAAGCAGCGTTTACATTTACTTTATAAATAAATTAACTTGCAAATTATGAGGGCAAGGCTTTTAAAGTTTAAATCTTCTGGCAAAGATAAAGTAAAGAAGATCCTGCAATTTATGGAAGTAAAGCAGAATAAAATCCAGCAAGATCAGTAATATGTCAATTAATTATCTGCCACATTCCCATGTAAATATCTGTCTTTGGAGGATGTGTTTTTTAGCACCCCTAGTTTCCCAATTTTAATCCAAAAAAAAATCAAAAATTGAAACAAAAGGCTATTTTTATCTCTATGGTTCAGTATTTTCTCAAGTAGCAACTTTAACTGCTATACTTTCCTGTCTTAAAAGGCAGAACTCTTCTGGTCTAAAAAAACCTCATTTGTTTAAATGGGGGGACCTATTGTTTGAACCCCTTAGGTGCTTTTAAAAACAAAAATGTCTTTTTTTGCGCTTTATGAAACAAAGTAGCCTATATTTTGTGGATTTTCAGCTACATTTCTCATGTAAGTTTGCGTAGTTTTAACACAAACATTTATTTTTCATATTGCACCAGGACAGTTAATGAGCAACCTGTACTTGTGTGCTTGTTTGTTCTGTCTAAAATGTTTATTTTGGAATAAAGAGGTTAATATAAAAAATATTTTTTGTCCGATTCATCGATTAATCGAAAAAATAATCGTTCGATTCATCGATTTTTAAAATAATCGCTAGTTGCAGCCCTACATCAAACGTTTTTTATGGCCATGCAGCCACAGTGAGGTAACATTAAACCGGCAGTCGTCTGAGACATGACGTTACCTGTGCATCCCTGAAATACATCTCATACTGCTGCAGCATCTGCCTGCTAATCATGCTTCCGTGGTAAACGATGACGTTGAGGTGAGTCCAGGTGTGAAATTCTCTCTCCCAGTTTGCAATAGTAGAGAGGGGGGCGATGATGAGGAAGGGCCCTTTGATGCCAATACGGTGAATCTCTTCCAGGAATGTTATGGACTGGATGGTCTTTCCTAGGCCCATCTCGTCAGCCAAGATGCAGTTCCGCCTGACAGAGGTGAGAAGAAGATGGTTAGTGGGGTAAACAGCTGCGATGCTTCTTTGGGCTGCTTAAGATATTCCCATGTTGCTGCATGACAGAAAGAAAGTGCCGTACATTTATCACGAGAACACATAGAAATGAAAATTATTCCCAAGACACTAAAACAATAAACTGAACACCGAGGGACAAAACGACATCATCAGTGGTAATCAAAGTAAAAACAACAAAAAAACACACATTTGAAATGCAACCTTAATCTCTCAGCTGTGTGGTGTGCTTCTACAGTCCATTTATTTAGCTGTCCAGTGGGTGGGGGTAATATGTCTTCATGCTAATTGCAACGTGCAGATATTCCCACAGGCCTCTTAAGCAGCCCTCCAGTTTTGATGAATCTCTCTGCGTAGGCATAAGAAAACTCCTGCACGCTCACACATAACTAAAGCAATTCCCGGGTTAAAGCAAGCACCGACACTTCGCTCCAGATGCAAGTTGTTGCTTTAGTGGTCATGGTTGAAGAAACAAATAAAAAATGAACTTTTTTGCAGCTGTGTGCATCTCAGCAGCAAATCTGACTCTCTGACTCTCACCACATACCAGCCCAAATAAGTATCCTCCACATCACCAGGAGGGCTAATTATTATTATTATGATGACCATAATCTGAATACACACAGGTTTGTCTTAAATGAGTGGAATGTATTACCTGGCATATGATTCTTTAAGTATATTTTTAAAAAAATCATACGTAGCATAAAACAAAGTATTTCTTTACCTTTGCAAATAAACACTCTCCTTCACATGGATTAAAACTGACCTGTTGTACCAGTTGAAAAGAAGCCAGTTGACCCCCTCCAGCTGGTAATCCCTGAGAGTGTTGCTATTCCTGTATTCCCTCGATTGCTCCCTCTTCTTCCAGAGGTTGGCTGGAGGTCGCTCCTAGGAGACAAAAACGCTGTTCATTGAACTATTACAAAAGGACCCTTCAAACACTTCAAATAACTGGAAAAAAAAGTGAATAAAATGTTTTCTTCAAGACATGCCTTTAAAAAATCTTACAAGATTACATAATTTCTGAAAGTACTGAAAGACTATTCTGAAAGAAAAAGATATTTCCTAAAGAACGCAAAATAGAAATCCTCCAAAAAAACTGAAAAATCTTCTTAAAACAGCAGAATAACAATGAAAACATGTCATGTTTTTATTAGATTCCCCACACAACCAGTAGGCAGCAGACCAAAAGAAATAATTTGCTCATCTCAGTACAGTTTTAAAGGCATGGCGATGGTCTTTAGTTTTAACAAGCAGGAGAAAAAAAAAGAAGAAAACAATCTTTTTACGTGTTTAAAACAAGGGAGAAGATCGGTCTCTGCTTCTCTAAATGAGATGTGAAGCCCTGTTAGGCTTACCACTCTGCGTGAGTCTGGCTTGGCTGCCTGCAGCCGCTCAAACTCTTCAATCTTGCTTTGATCAACGTCGTCCTTCAGCTCCCACGTGCTATCCTCATAAGGCAGAGAACACCACTTCACCAGGTAGTACACCACTTCCTGCAGCAGACAGAAGAGAGTCACTGTAAAAGACTAGAGCGAGGCCAAGCTCTGCTTTTGTAGCGTTCTCAAAGGCTGAGAGGCAGCCCATTAGGGTGGCCTTGGGCATTTCTACGATTCAAAGATATCATTACGCTGTAGAACATATTAAAAGGAAGAAAGCCAACTAAAGTGGTAAGGGATAAAACATGTTCCAGAATAAAAGGTAGAAACGCACAGGCTACGCTGATATGTGCTTAAAAGGGAGAAGACTTATTTTACCTCGCCTGTGTCTTTGTCCTCGCAGTACGATACCTCCAGCACTCTGTCGACTTCAACATAGTCGGGGTTGAAAGGTTCCTCATCCATCTAAGAGAGACAGAAGACGCAAAAAGAGATAAAACAGATGCTAAATAAGTGAACAAATTCAAGTTCCCACGTTCCATCTGGAAACAAACAACTCTCCTGTGTCGACTCAGTAAGTGAATAAATTCACATGAATACACACAGATGTGCCATCCCACACAAATCAAACACAGAGTGTTTTCATATCCACACACAGCGCTGCAACACCTGCATACTAAACGCAATGGTCCTAAACGATCAAAAGAACAATGGCCTAATTAGAAATATTAGACAGAGGAAAAAATAAAGCATTGTGGAAATGGAGGGGAGAGCCCCTTTCCAGGCACACAGCCTCACATCAGTGAAGAAGAGCGCCCTCTGTGCTTGTTTCATCTTGAAGCGTTTGATCTTCTGCTGAATCCTCTTGTCCTTTTCTAGCTGCTGCTCTGTGGCCCATTCACAGTGAAGGTAGGAGCTGATAAACAGACAGAAAACAATCAGCATCTGTTTATGCACCCAGAGTCGGAGGAAAAGGTAATCACATTTACCCATGTTTCAAATCATTTTAGACATTTCTAAAATAGAAAAAAAGCTAGGCTTTTGCAAAAAAAAAAAAAAGAAAAGAAAAAGATATATTAAAATACTTTAGTTGACACCTGGCATTCCTTGTTTGTAACATGCAGTATATACAGACCTGTTTTTTGACAGACCTGTCATCAACCTATATAACGCCTCCCTCAAGTGATTCAGCCCCCCCCGTCCGTAATTGACATTTATGCACTATTTTTGCACGCCACGTATCACTTTACTTGGATTTATTCACTTTAATTGGACTTTTCACT